GAAATGACAAATTAATTGGATGTCATACCACCTAAATCAGCTAACTTGTACATATCACTGAAAAACAGGCACATTTGCTGCAAACCCATGAAGTGAAACAGAAAATTCCAATCATCTCTTCTGTATGACCTGCCTTTGGGTGCACTTACAACATGAATTACCAAACACGTAATTTGTCGGGATGTAACTTAAATTATTAACATGTGCACATGGCAGACTATATTTCACACAATTCTCTAACCACTGCTGATTAAATTATCACTAATTATGCAAAAACTTTAAAGAGCATAATGATTTTAATGTCATTAAAAATGGAAGTCTGGCTTTGAAATAGTGAGATTTCATGAAGCTTATTGAATGATAATTAGTACTACTCTAAGCACTTTACATCTATTATCTATTTTACTCCTCACAACAACCCTGTTATGGAAGTTCTAAAGTAAAAAGGGATTGAGTGCCCTGGCCAGGTGGCTCAGTTATTTGAAGCATCGTCCCATCCACCAAGAGGTTGTGGGTTCGATTCTAGTTCAGGGCACATACCTAGGTTGTGTGTTCCATTCCAGTCAGGGTGCTTACGGGAGGCAACCGATCAATGTTTCTCTCTAACATCAATATTTCTCTCTCGATCTCTCTCCCTATAATCGATAAACATATCCCCAGGTGAGAATTTTTTAAAAAAGGATTGAGCAGCTTGCTCGAGGTCACAGCTAAGAAAAGCAGGGTGAAGACTGAATCTGCCTTGAAGGCCATCTGATCTGAAGCCCCTACCTAACACTAAGCACCAGGCTTCCACTTCCCTTCCTTGTTTCCTTACTTATAGGTGGCACTGAAACTATGATTGCTGGAATTTCTACTGGTGGATGTGGGAGAAGGTTGTCTGAAGCCTGCTGGCCGACTAAGGAAAAGTAATTTGAGTTTTAAAATGTGAATTGAACGAAGACGGCAGCACTCTGCAAGAAGAGGTACATGTGTGCTGCTACCATTGGAAATAGAATCAATATTTCTGAAAGCTATTTGGTAACTTGGAATGAGAGCTATAAAGCTTTTCTTGCCCTTTGGCTCAGTAATTTCAGTCTTTGGAGTATACTCCAAGGAAATAACATAAAAGATAAAGGTAATTTGTTCCAGATGTTCATTCAGGGGCTATTTGTATTTGTGAAAAACTAGAAACAACCCAAATTTCCAGTAATAGGACAGTGACTAAGCAAACTAGGCTATGTAGAAAAAGAAAACTTTATAATCCCTAGAAATAGCACAGTAGACTACACTGATCTGTACATATGTGTAAGAAATAACTTCCCATTAAAAAGTAGAATACAAATTAGTGGAAGCATAATCTTGTACAATTAAGTAAGAGAGTGCATGCATTAACAATAACACAAGAGAACTGTGAATTTATAAAGAAGTATATCTCTCATTTCATTGTTGAAATTCCAAAGGTGGAACTGCCATATAGATTATGCTTATAAAACCTACAGACTTAAATTATACAGAGATTTTTCTTTTTTAATCCTCACCCAAGGATATTTTTCCATTGATTTTCAGAGAGAGTGGAAAAGAGAAGGCCCACAACAGAGGTATGTGTCCTTGCCTGGAATTTGGTCCAGGACCCTTTGGTCCACAGTCTGACGCTCTAGCCACTGAGCTAAGCCAGCTAGGGATATACAGAGGTAATTTTTTAACTGAGACCTGACTACATCTCACATGTATTAATGGGCTGTCAGTAAAAGCTAATCTTTTATAAGGACTTACTATGTGCTAGGCGCTGTTCCAAATCCTTCCCCTATAATCATTTAATCCCCCTACAGCCTTATAAGAATTATTATTATAACATCTCTTCTAAGAGGAGGAAATTGGAGCACAGGGAGGCTAAATAACTTGCCCACGGTTACACAGGCTCTAGCCGAGGTAGAATCTCAACCCCAGTAGACACATAATTTGGCCTGTATGCTGCCATTATGCCACAATACCTTCTTTTACTTGAAAGAAGTATCTAGAGCCTGTTCTTTCCAGTTAATCATTTCTAGATTTTGCACTTTTCTTTCTCACCACTCCTGTTTGGTTTATCTATAATAATAAAAGGGTAATATGCTAATTAGACCAGATGTCTTCCGATGTCATTCCGGACATCCTTCCTGACGAAGCCGGGGCCAGAGGGAAGCCAGCCCAGGTCCCAGGTGACTGTGGGTAGCCCAAGGGAAGCCAGCCCGATCCCGGGTCCCAAGTCCCAGGTCCCGAAGGGAAGCCGGTGCTGGCAGCCAGGGGAAGGAAGGCCTACTCTTGCACAAATTTTCGTGCATCAGGCCTCTAGTAATATATAGAATCCTTGCAGAAAAAAACAATAACCAGATACAGAATTTGAGATAAACACAATCTGCCTGCCCTAACTGGTAAGGCTTCTTCTGAGAAGTGAGGCTAGAGTAGGGTTTTTTAATTAGGAGAGGGAATTGGAAAGGTTGGAAAATAAAATGCTACTATGGGAACATGGGATTCTTGCAGAGGAGAAAAATACATTTGGAGCAAGGAAATTCTCAAATGAGGTTGAATCTAAGAAATAATTTGCCTGGGGATAAATAACAAAAATAGAAGAACAGTTCAAAAATAAAAATGTATGTTCTACACTTGCCTTTCTTAAATTTTTTAAAAGTATTTGTCATTTATTTAATTCTCATGCTGTAGAATGGTGGATAGCATAATTTACAGGTGAAGAAACCGAGAGTCAGACAGTAAGTAGCTCACCCAAAGCAGGGTGCTTGTCCTTAGCCAAGCATGAACTCGGTAGAGCTAAACATTAATGCTGTTCAAGATAGGTACAAACCCCTGCGCAGACTATGCAGAGCTCACGAAGCCCTAGCTCATAAGTATAAATCCACTGAGAAATTCCAGAAAACAAATCTAACATGAATGGAATCAGAACTTAGAATTAAAAAAATAATGGGATCTGATTCAATAAAAAGGACAGAGTGAAGGCAGGACTACATCTAAGTATAAACTAAATGTTTGGGAGATGCCACGGGAATGTGATTGTTATTTGGAAAGGCACACAGCTCACATCTTTCTATCCAAATCCCTATAAGGGGCACATTATTACAGGACTCTCTCATCTTTGGTACAAAATGCACAAAAGGAAATTTTTACATTCCATGGCAACATTTGCACAGTGACCTACATTTTATAAGTTTTTAAATTCCTCAACTTCTCACCTGATTATGTGTTATGAAGGCCTATCCTTTCTTCAGAATTCAGATCAAACGCCATCTCTTTCAAGAAGCCTTTTAAGATTCTTCAACTGAAACTAATCCTCCTTTTCCTAGGCACCCATAGCATGTCCTGGGCATTTCATTGCTGAACTTGCCTCTGGCTTGTGCAGCTCCAGGATGGAGTAACACGTTTGAGATTTCTATCTGTGCTTCCTATGACATCAACACACATGCCTTGCACATTTTCGTCGTTTATTGAATTGGTAAGAAATTGTGTGAGGCCCTATCAGGCTCTACAGGTTTATAAACCTTTTCTGGGATTTGGGCTGTTCAAATTCAACTACAGAAATGACCTCAATAAAGACTCTTTTCACTTAAAAATCTTGTTTCCTTATAACCATATATTATGTTGACCTTTTGTACCAGATATTTGCATTAATTTAATGCTTTAGTAATTAGCATTGGCAAATAACTACCTCACATCCATAAGGTTAAATTATAAAGTGTCTTTTTTTCAAGATAATATATTCTTTAATTTTATACGTTTTTTATTGTTTAAAATATTACATATGTCTCCTTTTTCCCCGATTGACAACCCCCTCCCCCAGCCACTCACACCCCCAAGTGCAAGCCCCCACTGCCCCAGTGTCTGTGTCCATTGGTTATGCTAATATGCATGCACACAGGTCCTTTGGTTGATCTCTAACCCACCCCTTCCCCTGCCTTTTCTCTGAGGTTGGATGGTCTGCTCAGTGCTACCTTTTCTCTAGATCTATTTTTGTTCACCAGTTTATGTTGATCATTATATCCCACAAATGAGTGAGATCATGTGATATTTATCTTTCTCTGACTGGCTTATTTCGCTTAGCATAATGCTCTCCAGTTCCATACATGCTGTTGCAAATGGTAAAAGTTCCTTCTTTTTTATAGCAGCGTAGTATTCCATTGTGTAGATGAACCACAGTTTTTTAATCCACTCATCTACTGATGGGCACTTAGGCTATTTCCAAATCTTAGCTATTATAAATTGTGCTGCTATGAACCTAGGGGTGTAAAGTGTCTTTTTTAATCAAATAGGATTGTGCCAGTCATTAACTGAAATAAACTAACTTGAGATTTGCTTTTACCACAAATTTTAAAAATATCCCACCTAATTCTATTTCATCTGAAGGTAAGAGCTTTAAAACCAGAACTTCAACTCTTTGAAAAGTCTCTCTTGTAATATGAGATGGGGAATAAACTACTGGTGAAAGAATTTCAAATTTATGAGCAAAAAGTACATCACTTCTACCAGGGTCAATTGCTCTTCAGGGATGAAAATAATGTTCTTTTTATTAGCAATTTTAAATAACAATTAATATTCATTTACTTGAAGTTTTTATATAAGAACTGAGAAAACAATTCTTTGTAGTTGTTATAAAAATACAACAGAAAGAGCTGAGTTTCTGAAACTCAGTAATCTTCTATCTCCCCTGTTTTCCATTGGACCATGTGTGTGGTGGTGTGATCCTTGATTGAAAAGCTTACTTATAAGGAAGATAAAGACCAGGGAATAATAAGAATACTACTGAGGCTTGTAATGAAAAGCAAGCTAAGAAAAAGACTAAGTAATTATTTTCAATTATACCACATTCTGTAAAATATCAAAAGCTCCCATTACATTTTAACATGAGAAAAGGCTCTTTGATTCATGAATGGGCTAATCCAACAGCTATTCACACAATTCCTGTCCTTTTCAGGGAGAATAACAATCAGTAACCAAGAAAGAGAATGAAAGTCATGAAAGGCATGAAATCTTACTTTTTCATCATCTTCAGTAAATGGAGCACCTTCAGGAATCTTATTTATCGCTTGGGCCACACCAATAATCTCACCATCACTGCTTCGGATAGGCATGCACAATAGTGATTTTGTCTTGTATCCAGTCAGCTTGTCAATTTCATCATTGAATCTTCTATCCTAAAAATAAGACAGAGTATTAACCGCAATATGCACTGTCAGAGAAGAGAGAGAAATGTACAAGGGTGGGTAAAAGTAGTTTTACAGTTGTGACTATGTGAAACAGTTAATAAAGCTATTGTAATAATCATAATCTGCATGTCTTTTCCCATACAAACAGCTATAAATCTACTTTTCCTACCCCTTTATTTCTGTGTAAGGTACCTTATCAAGGGCAACTTTAGCCTGCAAATTTTTAATAACAGATTTGACTTTATGTTGAATTCACTAAAGAAATATAAATGAAAACAAATCACCACCATAATTGTTAGCCAAGAGAGGAACTTTAATCTTGACTACTTGTCAAAATTGGGGAGGGGGCAAGTGTTTTTAATGGAACTCCACACTATGTTATTTATTAAAATGTGTTCTTTCATATAGACACCTGGCTATGAAGTATCATATAAAAATACATAATAAATATATATTAAGCACTATGAAAAAATATTCAGAAAAGCACTACTTTACTTTTGGTCACATGATTCTGTAAAAAACAAACCTCTGAGCCCATAGTGATACTTTTAAAGTAATTTTTTTTAAGTGAAGTGGGGAGGAAGGAGATAAAATGCTTCTTTATAGAATGTCAGCGAAAAAATGTAGAAGGAATGGTAAAATTATATAATACCTATTTATTGTAACTACCAAAATAATAATGGATGCAAGCAAGGACCATCAATACAGGCTAATACCATTGGATGAAAGGTTGTTGTTAAACAGGATATTAACATAATCTCAAAGTGACACCCTAAAGATTCCTTATTAAATTCAAAAGAAAAGATGTCTTTATCATGAAGAGACCTAGTAGACACCACCTTAAACAAGTAACATCATCATTAATGAGACAAAAGAAGATCTTGTGCCTCCTGATGAGATTCAGGAAAGGACACAACATCATGAAGAAAATTAAGAAAAACGCAGATTGTTGGTCATTCAGAAGTCTGACCTGGATTACTCAAAAATGTCAATATCGTGAGAGATGAAAAAGATTTAAAATAAAAATAAAATAAAGCCACGGGGGCTGTGCTGGTGTAAAAAAGACTGGAGAGACTTGGAATCTAAATAAAATGTGTGGTCCTTTATTGGAAATTGTTATGCAATTCTTGGAGGGAACAATTAGAGAAATTTGAACATCGACTTTATGTTAGGTAAATAGTGGTATTGCAATTGTGTAAGAAAATATTCTTATTTTTAGGACATACATGCTAAGTGAAATGTATTTTGAGGTGAAATGTTACAATACCTTCAACTTACTTTCAAACAGTAAGAAAGAGAGAAAGGGAAGAGAGGGAGGGAGAGAAAGAAGGAGGGAGGGATAAAGGGAGAGGTGAGAGTAAGAGACTGTTCATGCTCGCCTGCACGTGGTATTTTGTGGAAGAGCCACACTCAAGGGGCCAAAGAGCCGCATGTGGCTCGCGAGCCGCAGTTTGCCGACCATTGGATCTAGAGTTATGAATTTTATCTGACTCAGGGCCTCAGGAGGCTGGCTATTGACTAGGTCTGTGGTATACCCAATATCACAAGGTCAGGAGCCCTTAAAACTCCATGTAAGGGCTGGTTCTGATCTGGGAATCTGTGGAGGTCACACTACATCCTTAGCCAGGGAGGAGAGAGCCCTGAAAAGAGAAATCATAAACTCAAACCAAACCAAATCTCCTGTTCAAGATGAGCATGCAACCATACTTTCAGAAAAACAATTAGTATTAAAACAATTAATGTTAAAACAATTTGTATTAATTTTTTAAAATTTACTAAAGAACTATTATGCATCAGGCTCTGGGCTGAGAGATAGAGCAGAAAGCAAAAGAGAAATCATTCCTGCCCTCATGGAACTTGCAACCTAGTAGGTGAAGTAGATGACATATCTATATATATAAAAGCCTAAGCGACCGGAAGGACTGGAACGACTGGTCGCTCAATGCAAGAGCTGCCTCATGGTGGTCAGTGTGCTCCTACAACCAACCTCCCATGGCCAGCCAATCTCCTGTGGTTCCTCCCCCCGGCCAGCAGGCCCTGGGCTGGGATGGGGAACCAGGAGTAGGTGACGGCAGACGCAGGTCCTTTCCCAGGGTGCCCAAGGGCCGGCTCCCTCCTTGGGGCTGGCAAGCAACCTCCAATGCCCCATCCCTAGCCCTGGCCAGCAGGCCCCGATCAGCCTGCTGCTTGCCCACCACAGTGGCAATGTGGCAGCAAAGGAAGGAGGAGGGGGGAAGGCAGGGAACCACGTGGTGGCAGGGCGCTGATGGTGGCAGGTCGGCATCCGGCGTCCATTCCTTCCGTGCCAGGCCCGGCGACCATCTCCTCCTCTCTGGCCCGGGTGGCAGACGCAGGTCCTTTCCCAGGGTGTCCAAGGGCCGGCTCCCTCCTTGGGGCTGGCAAACAACCTCCAATGCCCCATCCCTCCCCCCAGCCAGCAGGCCCTGATCAGCCTGCTGCTTGCCCACCACAGTGGCAGTGTGGCAGCGAGGGAAGGAGGAGGGGGGGAGGCAGGGAACCACGTGATGGCAGGGCGCTGATGGTGGCGGGTCGGCATCCTGCGTCCATTCCTTCCATGCCAGGCCCGGCGACCATCTCCTCCTCTCTGGCCCGGCCCTGATAGGCCTGGTCCTGATCAGCCCTGATCGCTGGCCAGGCCTAGGGACCCCACCTGTGCATGAATTCCGGGCACCGAGCCTCTAGTAAATGTATAATCATATATTGTGGTGATACTGAGGAAAAGATCAAGGTGCCAAGAGAGACTTCATCTGAGGGACCTATTTTTATGGCAATCAAGGAAGGTCTCTCAGAAAACAGAACAAGTAAAGCTGTGACTTGAATCATGAGTAAGAATTGGCCAAAGAATGATAGAAAGAACTTTCCAGGAAGCTGGCACAATACATGTGAAGGTCCTGAAGCAGAAATAAGCAAGTTCCCAAAATTCAAAGGTCAATGTGGTGAGAGCATACAGAGTAAAGGGGAGAATGGGAGAGGTGCCATGTTAAGTGAAACAAACAAGCTGCAATCTGATATCCGCTTTATAATACTACCAATATTTAAAAACAACACTAAGTATTATATATGGATTCAAATATGAAGCAAAATTATAAAGCATGCACGGGAATAATAAACTCTAAATGTATATAAGTGGTTACCTCCAGGGAGGAAGAAAGGAAATGGCATCAGGGAGAGGGAGAGGGAGAGAGGAGGCTTGAATGTTAACACAAACTTTCCTTCTTTAAAAATAAACAACTGTGAAGCAAATAAGTACAATGTTAAGATTTTATAACATTGGTGGTCTATTCTTATCTAAATGTTTGAAACATATTTTAATAAAAATTTAAAGGCCATTTTTTAAAAACTAAGAACTTTGTGGAAGATGACACAGGATTGGAATAGGGGAATCCAGTTAGGACATTTCAGTGGTCCAGGTAAGGTGAGAGGTTGGTCTGGGTTAAGAGAAAGGCAATGGAGGTAAGGAGAATTAGATGGATATACTGAAAATTCAGTCTACAGTATTTCCTGATGGATGATTAGTTGGGGATGGAGGACTAGAGAAAAAAGAATGAATCTGAGGTTTTAATTTGAGAAACGATATAGATGGAAATGCCATTTACTGGAAAGGGGAGATTGAGAAGAAGGTGAACGTCTATATATAAAGACAAGAAGGTTGATAAACCAATATATTAAGCAAGGTGAGGTGCATCCTGTGATGACCTAATCAGTGGTTCTCCACCCTGGTTGCATGTGAGCACTAGCTGAGGTTTTCAAAATACCAGTGCTTGGGCTCCACCACATCCCAAATTGAATCGATCAATAATGGGCATTGGTATTTTTCACATTGGAATTTTTATTCTCATATGAGAACAATTTTCCTAAATGATAAAGAGCTTAGTCATGATTGAGATCAATAAAATTCATTGATAGAAAGCCTTAAAACAGGAAGAGCAGCATGAATTCTGGTGGTTGCATATCAGTCGTGTGGACCATGTTAGACTGGGCTTGAAAATCCACTCTGGAGTAACACGTGACCTGGCTACTCTTACTTTTGTGATAATCTGCATCCCTGGAGAAGGGCCTCATCCACCAAAGTCCAACTTTGAGTAGACCAACCACCAACACTGTGAGGTATTCTTTGTCAAAATATCCAAAGCCACACAAGAACAATAGAACGATTCAGAATCACTAGGGGACACAAAAATGTTATCAGCCCTTCCCACCATCTCTTCAACTATCTACACCCACCTGATAAACTTGTAACTTGAGGAGAAAAAATAATTATATTTATATATGTAGTAAGTGTTAATCTTCCCACTTAACTCAAAACTCAAAACTTGATATAATCCATCTAAGGGGAGGTCAGAAGAGCTGATACAATAACGCACTTCCCTAATGTGTGTTAATCTGTAGATTAATTTCCCAATTTAAAAAATGAAGAAAGCTGAGCCCAAAATTGAAGTCTAAATTAGTTGTGGGAGATGAAAAAAAATTAGGAACATAATTAGATGAAGAGACATATTATTCTGATGTTATAGGTGAAATGGAAGTTCAAAAACAAAAGATAGCAAAAAAGATAGGTTTTGCTAGCTAAGCAGTGACCACAAGTTAGTATAATAGTGGGGGAAACAAACCATTGTAGAACACACAGCCAGGGACCACAACTAGTTGAAGGTCAGAAAAAAATCTCCCAAGTAAGTGAAATGCCTAAGTTGACACCTAAAGGATCTGTGTCCAGGAGAAGGACACAGTATTCAAAATTAGCAATAGAAAACTGGTAAATTTGAGGCATTAATAGAAGATGAAGATGGCTTTCAAAGGAAGAATCAGGGATGTGACAGGAAAGACTAGCTGGAGGCTGACGAAGAGGGCCTAATGACCAGGTTTAAAATTGTAAATTTATCATACAAGAATCAGAGTCACTAGAGGATTTTAAGAAGGTGGGTGGGAGCAATATAACTGATTCTTCATTTTGGAAAGACCACTCTGGC